CAAAGAAGAGAAGGAAGAGAAGAAGCAGCGCGTGATTGATGGTCGGAAAGCGGCACTCAAGTTCCTGGACTCATTGGAGAAGTGCACGGAGGATAAGGGAATTTGTGCGAAGCGCGCGAACGCGGCCCACGACGGTGACTGCAAGAAGGTCGAAGAGGCTGCTGGGAATGACAAGGCGATGGGGAGGATTCGTGAACTTCTCAGCAGCGATCACGTGTCCTCGGATGAAGAAATGGGGGGCACGGAGGAGCCCTCGTCATCAACACCCAAGGAACACAAGACAAGAAGACAAACGGGGAAAGAAACAATAGAGATGTACAGCTACACCATCAACCTGGTGGAGATGGTGGAGATGGCGGACACGGCTGCAGGGGGCGAACTGCAATGCGGCGGTGTGGACCTTACCTTCAATCCGTGCGGGGATCACAGGACCTTCAAAACAACGTTGGAGCGGGGATGTGATACCATTCCATGCTACATCCCAAGGCCTGGTGACGCGTCAACCTACCATGGGCACATGCGTCAATGACAGATCCCAGATTCTTCCCCAAGGGTGCCATCTTGGCAAAAGCATCAACTTCTGCATTTATCCTTTTGATGACGCTCCATTTGGCAGAATCGGCGCTGAGTGTTCTGTGTTTGGAACGCGAGATCAAGCTAATCAGCTATCTCACGACCTTTGCAGGATCTTTCGCCAAAAAATGGGCAATTGCCGAGGAAGTACTTTCAAGTGTGATGAAGGTGGATGGGTCGACATTGACGCGATCATCACGGACTATAGGGTAAACCTATTCCCACCGAACACTTCGAAAGAGAGACGCTACATGGCCATCGTCGAGGTGATGAAATGGCAGGAGTCTGGATATATGAAGTCGAGATTCCAGATTCTAGCAGTGAGGTTTCCGGGCATCATGAATCCGAATGACATGAGGGCTGCCAGACAGGAACTGCTCTACATGGGTCGCACTCAGGACGAGGTCAACGAGATATTCAGCAGATGCGCTGGGTGGTACAGGCCTTGGTGTATCCGGGCCACGACTGGCCACAGCGACTTTGGATTCACGAGTTCTTCCGCTCTTGCGAACAGGTATTCCGCGAGGATGGGTGACTCCCTCGGAGGCGCCTTCCACTGACATATGTGGAAAATCTGCCAAACATCGCTCGCTGCGGGCTAGTCCCCGGCGGGATTGGTGGCGGGAACCGGTTGGCACTGCGCTTCGGGACATTCGCTCCATGGGACAAGATGAACCTAGCAACGAAGACTTCGCTACGCAACCTGCGGGTCGGGGATCCAATCTCGATCATCTACATTCCCAGTGCAACTCTTGCACGGTACGGAGGCCGAGTCGCATTCAACGGGACGTTTATGGTGTTCGACGTCATCCCGTTCTACGAAATCAAGTCCATATGGATCGGAAAGCGCAACGAAGGGAAATGCTTGGACATCGAGAACGTCAAGCGGGCGTACTCAGAATGCGTCGAGAACGAGATCTGTCCTGGCTTCATGAACCCAACGTGTCCGGGGATGCCAGGCGAGCACAGGAGGAAGCGAATGGTAATACGGCAGCACAAGGGAGGGGTGATGGAATGGATGATGATCCCGACGATGATGAAATTGGCACGCAGGGGCACACGTCCGGCAACTTGCCCGAAGAGGAAGAGAACGAAGAGGACTACCGCGACAATGACATGACAATCATCAACTCCCAACAGATAGCAATCTGCTTGGATGAGCCACGGGAGGCTCAGTATATGGCGGTGTTTATTGCGTTGCAGATGTCAAGGATGTGGGGGATGTTTGAGGCTGGCGACAAGCGAACGATTGACGCCGCGCTTAGAGGGGCTCCCGCATGTCCATACCACAACGACTTGGCGCGCTACCCCGACGTCACTGTGCTTGATCGTGCTGGTGTTGTCTTGCCATCTTCTGAGGAAGAAATTTCTCATTCTCAGAGTGTTCGATCAAGGACTTTCGGATCAGTCGAGGAACGCAACCAATACATTCGCTTTTCGGCGATCAAGTGCAATGGGCTGTACATCTTCTACAAATTGTGGAGTGCGGCAAAGATCCTCGACGTCACCAAGGAAGAAATGAAGCTATTGGTGGGCGAACGCAAACATCCAGTGGGAGACATTGTTTACAGATGCTTCGCTCTGGCATTCAACTGCAAGTACATATCCTTCGCGAGGGCCGGGCTGAACCTTGGTAAACATGGGTATGAGGTTGACGCGAGCGCTATTATTGCAGCCACGGACCCGGGCAAGTGTGACGGACCGCTGCTTCACTGGTGCGTCCGGAAAGGACATTGGCTTGCGGACGAGCGCTACAAGAAGTATGTCCGAGCCCGGGACGCCCAACGCAACTTGGACGAAGAATTCCGTCGTCGTATCACTAGGCTGGCCATTGTCGACCGACCTATGTGATGCAGAGGTGGATCACCGTTGCTTTTACGGCATGGTGCGGGCCAGTCCCCATCCATTGCCAGCAACATGTTAATTT